AAAAAACCCAGTGGACGTGGAAGTCAGTAGGTCTTTATCACCAGGTATTAAGGAAGGAGGGAGAAGAAGGGTTCCATCAAGAAGCTGATCCTTGAGAAAAGAAATGCAGGAAGGAGTGAGGGAATTCAGACAAGAAGCAGAAACCACCCAGTCTAACCTCATCAGAACTTTGAGGTGTGGAAAGATTACAGCCACGTGTGGAATCATTACTGGGTGCTGATGCTGGCATAATAGGGCCCAAAGTCAGCAGGAAGATAGGGAAGCCACAGAGCTGTTCAGCTCTTGGGAACAAAATAAGGGATGTCACCATGTGCCTATGGATGTAATCAAGATACCACCTATGTCTCCATCAGCTAGCAAGGAGGAGACACTAGCTTTCCTAGGCTTTGGGGAAAGTGCATGTTCCAGGTTAATGTTAGCCTACTCCTCTCCATGGAATAACCTGGACAAATCACAGAATCCCAGAGTGGGTTGGGTTGGAAGGGACCTTAAAGACAGCTAGTTCCAAGCACCTTGCCATGGGTGGGGATGCCCCTGAGGAGAAAAGTGACACAAGTTGCTTGGTGGGCACCTGGTGTCCAGCCACTCCAGCATCGAGTCCTGCAGCAATTGCAGTTTGTGTGTCAGAACCACTTTCTCAGTGACACAGACTGGGGGGGGCAGGACACATCTGTTGGTGTATTAAAGCTGCTGTCACTTGCAAACGCAGAGATGGACGCTAGGAGGGTGCACGAGTCTCACCACGGTTCTCTGTACTTCTGCCTTGCTGGCTTTTCCTCTCCTGCTGTGCAGTAGCTCAGGGCTGATGTCAAAACCAATCTGAATCAACATAAGGACTGGTCTCTGAATCAGATCAGTCCTTATGTTTCGTATTAGCACCTCTAGAAAATCCAGAATTCTCCCTGTCCTGTCACCTGTCCCACAATTGGAGTAGCCTGTAAAACATAACAAATGCTCAGTGATCACTTCAGAGAGTGTTTCTTCCTATTTTAAGAGGAGCATGGCCAGCACTCTAGCCTGTTATGGCCAAACAAGAGACAAGAAGAAATGTCAACCATCAAAACCCTTTTTGATCTGTCCCCAAGAACCTCTCAGCTAGGGCAAGTAATTCCATTGAACAAGTTAAATTCTGTCTGTAAATTTGGTTTGTATTATGTAAACAATAGCAGCTGCTCCCTGCCCAGTAATGTGTCATGATTTTTCATGCATTATCTTGTCCAGGGTGATAGAAACTGTTGCACACCTATATGCAGACCAGGCAGTTAAATTAGTTTAACACTCACATTACCCCAAAGTCTTGATAACTGAGCTGGGAGGAGTGTTACATTTAGTTTGTCAAAATGTCTCCTACCTGTTTATTTTGCAAGTCAGGTTGCTGTGCCTGTGCAGCTGCCACAGGTCTTGAAGGAACTGCATGTTTATTCTTCAGCAGGTTTAAAATATGTCAGCATTGACCTGCCTGTGATGCAGGCTGCCCCTGAGATGCAGTGAAATGGAACAGGACATTGACTTAAAAATGGAAAAATATGAGCAGTCATCTGTCCAGCCTTGCAAAGCACCATCAGTGTGAGGTCCTGTGTAGAGAATATGAATTAGAATACTTGCTTGGGTAAACACAGCAGGAAAATGGGAAAGCTTAAGGACAGGGGGATGTAACAGTCTTAAAACTCTATGATTAGCAAAGAAATCTCTTGTGTGTGAGGTCAGGAAACCAGTACACCTGTGTAGCCTTTGGTGATCCTGATGGTGGCAGAGAAGGGGTAGGTCATTAGGAAGTGACCACACTGATGGAAAACTTCCCATTTGCATCATAAATGTGCCACTTGCACTGCCCATGCTGCCTCTGCCATCTCATCTCTGCACCACTCACTCACAGGCTCACTTCCACCACAGTGAGGTGTGGGTGCCATGGGGGTACAACTGTCTCATGAGGGAGAGACTCCCCTGAAGCTCCAGGGTGACATTCTGCTGGGTGCAAGCATCATCACAGCATGTTGGCAGCTCCAGGACAGGCTGTGAGAGGAGCCACCCTTTGCCTATTGCAGGGTGGACTGGGGGACAAGAGCAGGAACCAGGGCACCAGCTGCAGCACTGGGAAGAAAGGAGAGTAAGGGAGACCAGCCACGTGGCAGCAAGTCATCCTGCCAGACCTGCAAAGGCAAAGAGAGGCGAGCATTAAGCCTGTGTGTGTAGAGAGCTGGCCACCTGGCACAGCTCAGGGCAAGAGGATTATTGGATGCATGCAGGCTCCTGACAGCTACTGGGTCATGTGTGCTTAAGCTCACCACAGAGAGCAGAAGGGTTGGGGCCTGCCTGGAGCCAGGTGAGTAAGGAGTGATAAGAATCTCACCCTTCACCACTTTTGAGTTCCTGGAGCCCTTCTGGTCTGTGAGGGAGCACAACCCAGCGCTGCTGCAGAAATGTCAGGAGCTGATAGCAGTTTGCTCTGTTACACCAGAGCCCCCCTGCCTGGAGTCAATTCCCTGGATTCCAGGACTCGGGCCCTGCTGATGGATTCATCCCACTCAGCAGCCACTGCAGCTCCACTCCACTAGCAGGGAAGGGGATCTGACAGTGCTCAGATTTACAAGGAAGATGGCATATTAACTCCTCAGATTGAAGCATTTGGTGTCACAGAGCAGAGCAGACTTGCCAGCCTGATGTAATTCCCAAGCGGATCAAAATTTAATCTGCTGCTACATCTCTGCCTGCCAGGGCCTGTTCTGGCCAGGGAGCAGTGCAGGGGCAGCTCTGCAGCTGCTGCTCTCCCTCCAGAGGCTCAGCAGCACAGCCCCCCATCTCCATCCTGCCCCAGCCTGCATGGCCACACTCATGGCCTCTTAGCAGCACCCCTGGAGGTGGCAAGCATCTGGTGTCCAGAGAACTGCTCTGAAGGGTCCACCAGAAAAGCCCCATGTCCCCCAAAACCAGCTGGATATGAAGTTATGAATGCCATGGGATGTGGTGGAGTCAGGTGGGAGGGAGGCTGACAGTCACCCACTCTCTGCATCCCCAACACCCCAACCCAGCAGCACTGCATCCCTGGCACGACCCAGAGCACATTGTCACCAGCCACCTGCCTGCTCAGCATGGCTTGGGCCAGACACAGTGGGACTCAACAGCCCTCCAGCTCCCCTGTCAATCCAGGGGGGAATGGCAACAAGGAAATCACAAATCAAGCCTGGGCAGGAAATGACCCAAGTGTCAGGGCAAGCCACAGGCAGCTGTGTTGGGGCTGGTTGCTTCCTTCCCTAGAAGGGTGGGTTATCACAGGCCTCTCAACAGCAAAGCCAGGCTCGGTTTTTTCCTGATTTGAAACCACAAAATGGCCCCTCCCAGACTGGTACAGGAGGGGAAAGCCACCCTCCAGCCCCCAGCCCCTGACAGGCTTCAGCAGGAACATGCTTTTCCCCCAGGCTCTGCAGGATGGAGCTGGGCTGCTATCGGAGCAGGCTGCTGGGGCAGTGGGTGCAGCAGTGGGAACAGATGGTTTGTGCAGACAGCACACACTGAGGCTCTGAGTGTTGTTCTGGGTGATGTTCACCACCAGCTGGTGTGCTGAGATATGCAGTAACCCCAGCACGGCTTGGGAAAGGCAGAGGTGCTGCCCAGCAGAGGATGTGGTGCCATCCCTGGCAGCCCTGCTACCCTGCACAGAGGGGGAGGCAGGGACCCCCAGAGTGGGCAGAGCTGGGGGCAGCCTCCACAGGCTGGTAGCCAAGGACAGGATGCTGGCCCAGAGCCTGGGGGTGAATGGGGCTGCTGTAGCCATGGCTGAGGGACACTGACTCCCCAGAGCTGCCAGACAGCTGCTTTCCCTGCTGAGCTGCCGTGGTGGGAGCTGTCCAGAGCTTCCAGAACCCTCTCCATCCGCAGAACTCTGCCAGTCCCAGTGGATGCCCAGGCTGGGAGGGCAGAGCTCAGTGGGATGGCCTGGAAGGCAGGGATGTGCCCATGGGCACACACAGACCCTCAAATGGACGTGGGCATGGATGTGCACGTGTATGGGGGACACAGACACAAACAAAGGCACAGGGGCTGTAGCAGTGCCAAGCCAGGGGGTGACAGCTGCAGCTGTACCACAGGCCCATTGCCCTCTAGCCTTGGGTAACAGCACCCAAAATGGGTGAATGAAGACAGGGCAGGCTCAGGGCTCAGCAGGGACCCTCTGCTGCCCCTGAGGTGGGGTGGTGAAGCCAGCATGGCACACTGAGGGACCAGCCTGACTAGGAGGGCTGGCAGCACCCAAAGAGTCACCTGTGCCTGGAGGCTGGAGCCTGAGGCTCTGGCAGGGCACCACAGCCTGGGACACTGGGGCAGTGAGTGCCTGTGCTGGGGCCAGAGCAGAGCCACAGCCCCTTTTGCTGCAGGGACAGCCCTGGGGGAGGGCTCACAGCTCCAGCACAGGGGCCAAGCAGAGCTGATGGTGCAGTGACCCTGCACGACTGCCAATGAGCAGCAAGATGCCAAAACCAAGCACAGTCCATCTGCCTTAAATTAGGGGTTTTTTTATACTTATGTCAGATCTGATTTAGACCAGACCAAAATCTGGAAAATAATCTTCTCTAATGGATGCAGCCCAGCTTCTGGTCAGGCTTCCTCTGCAGGCCATTGCTGGCACCTCCAGGAAGTACCATTTCCAAGGCCTTTACTGTATCCACTGCTCTGGAATTTGGTGGCACAATCCCTCCCTGCACAGGGCCTGAAAGGCAGGACCATGGCAGGCTGCTGTCCTGCCCCCCAGGTACCAGCAGCACTGGCTGGAGCTGGTTTGAAGCACTGCTTCACAGCTGCTGGCTCACAGAGAGCACTGTGGCTCCAACTGGCAGTTTTTGGGCAGGGATGTCACCAGCACAGCTGCTGGGACCAAGCACTGTTCTGCACTGGCACCAGCCTGGCACCCAGCCCAGTGGTATGTAGGGTCCTGCTGAGGGGCCCATGACCACAGGCCATTAACAGCAAAACCAACAGGAAAAAGCACTTAAAAACATTTAATTTAATAGAGTAAAAAAATTAGCTTTAAAATTATAGAAAGGCAGATGAGGTTGGACACAAGTACAACTACACTGAAGACATCTCACTGACACTTCAACAAGATATTTACATCAAAAAGCATGGTCAGGGCAGTACCAGTTTGCTAGCAGTGAGTACCAGAGTACCATGAGTACCAGAACAATTTGCAGTAAGCCTTCTGCAGAGCTCCAGCCACGGCTGCCACGTACAAGTCTGGCACTTGGGAAGCAGGGAGGAGGTGGTGAACACAGCCACATGACAGATGGAATGAGTACAGCTGCACCATTACGTGGAGCCTCCTGTGCACAGAGAAAGCAGCTTTCATGGCCAGAGGGCTGTGCTGGTGTCACTGTCCCTCTGTGGGACTGGAGGAGGGCAGAGAGCAGCCCTGGGGCACCAGCACTCCCACCCAGCCAGGGGACTTCCCTGTGAGGGGGAGAGGCAGCACACGACCCAGCTCTGCAGTCCTGACTCTGTTTTGCTAGTAGGTAGGGTCAGAGACACACACACACCAAACTAAGGAATATATATACCCTCTAATTTCCATACTGTTCTAAATCCTCAGTTTCCTCTAAGTGTACCCCCAGTTACCTGTCCACAGAGTTCCCAGTCATTTTCCTACACAATACACTCTCTGTGACTATAGTCACTCAAGCTTCACAATATCCAAACAGAGCTTGAGAACATTTCATGCTTTGGTACCACATGGATTGTCTACTATCAGTGGAGGTAGTTGGTAAGCTAATTGTTTCATGATCATCCAAACCTTAACATAATATGCAATTACCAGAACAAAAAGCAAAAGGATTAGCATCAATAAAACAACACCAGGGTGAAGCACTCAGTTGAGAATTCTGGTAGCTGTAGGCACCCATCCAAAAAGAATGCCCTAAGTGTTCTCCATCTTTCTTCACCTGCTCCATCACATTGTCACAGCACAGGTTGAGATGGGCACAATACACAGAGTGTCACCAACCATTCAATACCAGAAAGCTTCAACCCAAACAGAGTGACACCAGACCCCTTCAGAAGGCTTCAGGTGTCTGCCCACACAGAGTAACATCATATCACCTCACAAAGCTGCAAGCATCTGCCCATCTTGTTCTTCAGCCCAGCCTTTTACACCCCTGATGTTGATCCACTGCCCCTGTGTGCCCCCTGCTCCCTTTGGTGGGTGCTCAGCACCCCTGGGCACTCCATGGCTCGCTGCTGTCAGTGCTGCTCACAGCTGTGCCACTGGGGATGAGGCTGGGCCAGCCCGTCCCAATCATCACAAACTGTGTGCCTACATCACATGATGGATTTCTGCCATGCCATGATGGACAGCAATTAAAGCCTTTTATCCATTCTCCTGGGTTTGTTTCAGCAAGCCTCAGGTCTGTGTTGGAACAGTACCTTTACCAGTTCATACCAATGGGAGTAGGCTGCAAGTCTTGAATCAGGGTATAGTTAGATTCCAAAAATTGACAGGATACAACAGGAGGTAAAAAACTAAAAATCTTCATTTAAAAAATAGAAACAAAAAATAAATAACTAAAATCCTGTCATTGCAATAGTTACAAGTACAAATATTGGAGTGACTACTTGTATCTTCAGTAACGTTATCTACAAATACAAAATCACAAGAGGTTCTCATGCATCTTGTACAAAATCTCACCAAGTGTACCACTGACTTTCAGATCCTTGCCAATAATTTTCTGTAGGGTATTTAGTGGTACAGCCAAAGCATAGTGAATGTTATTCCAAAATGCATCCTGCACAAAAGAATCCAAACTCAAACTAAAAACTCTTAGAGTCCCCTGAGTCTAGGGTTATCCCTGATGCTCCCTGATCATGCAAGCACACCACCCAAGAGAAAAGAGGTTCCCCTGTTTTTTCCTAAACTGTTCAAATATTTAATTTACTTCATGCTGAGTATAATCCTCTATGAGTATCCCTCCTGACCATTAGAATCTAATTCTACCTTTCGTCTCCATGCTGGTCTCACATCTACAAATTCATCTCGGGAACCAGCCTCATCAGAATGTACAGAATCCCAAATATCTCCATTCCATTTATCAGGATCCCACTGCACACCTGCCTCTGCAATAACTGCATGCATTTTCTTGTCATTCACTTGCCCTCTCCTTTCCTTATACTGAGCTACTCTAACTGCAGCCTTCTCAGCAAGTCTGGTAAATCCATCTTATCAGCAAGTAGCTTATTTGGGCATTTTAGCATTACAGTTTGATTCTGCAACTCACATCTGTTGGTCCATGTTAGAGCATTTCAACAACTGTTCCTTTTGTTGGTGTTTTTGTTTGATATACTGTTAACAAAATTCATCCTTGCCTTTCCAATCCACAAGTTCTTTTCCTTTTTCAGTATGCAATTTTTGGATGCATTTCAATATACATCCAGCAGTTCAACTTATTTTAACTGACTTCCCCATTGCTCACATGGTCCTCTAACCTTAGCCCACTTAAGGACCAGTGAACTATATGGAAGGTCTTCCCATCTGGGAATTTCAGACAGGGCTGATTCTTTTCATTTAGATTTTAAAAGCAACAGTTTGTTCTGACCCTGCTGATACGCTGGTTTTTGTTTTGTGAGTAGGGTCAGAGACACAGACACCAACTTAAGGAACAGTGGCATTACCATGATGTAAAACTGCAAAGAATCACAAAAAGATAAGCTAAGCAAGGCACCTAACCATGAGCAAAGAATTGCAAAGGGACAGGCTGAGCAATGCTAATCATTGCTAGGAAAGAATGCCTACAGTGATGAAGGAAGATCCATCACACATCATCCAAGCCCAAGAGACATCAGCTCTGGGGGAAGCTGCCACAGCCAAGGACTGGAGAACCAGGCCAGGAGCTGGGAGCTCCTGCAGTGCCTCCTCCTTTGCAGGCCACCAGGCTCCCCCACTTTGCTGGGACAGTGGTCCAGGTTTTACACTGCTAAACAAACCAGCTGACATCATTTCTGATTTCATCTTCCTGTCAGCTTTCTCCCAGAGCCTGGCCAGGGCTCAAGGAGGATTCAAGGGAGTTGTCTCTGATCCTATACCACCTAATAAAGCCAGATGTGGCCCTGTCCTGTTTCTAGATACAGAGAGGTGAACATGTTTTGCCAATAAGTGAGTACATATAACAATACTTTGTTAAAGTGGAAACATACAACATTTGGTTGGAGTGTTCATCCTAGGTCAGCTTTGGCTCAGGGCCTGTTGTTCAGATCTTAGTACTTCACCCTGGGACTCAGTCTCTGCAGGAGAGGGGATAGATGGATCATGATCTTGCCCCAAAGTGGCAAAGAGGTCCATGGAGTGCTGGTCCCCAGGCCCTCACACCGCAGCAGCCCCAGGGCTGAGGTCCAGTCCAGGATGGTGCAGAGGTTTTTCTACTGTGGCACAGGCTTTTTCCGCATTTTTCCCTTCCACGCTGTTCCAAATCCCGTAGGTGAAGTAAATAATGAAACCTGCAGGACAGTTTCCATAATGAAATGTGCAATGGTGGGTTGTCAGCACTAACAGACCCCCAGGAGAGAGCTGTGGGCACTGCGCTCCCCACCACAGGACACCTACCCAGAACCATGCAGACGGCAAACCGCGCCCAGGTGGCGGCACTCAGCTGTACCATCAGCAGGATGTTAATGAAGGTGCTGAAGATTGGCACGAGTGGGAGGAAAGGTACCTGCAAGGGACAAGAAGTGCTGTGTCAGCTGTGTCTTGAGGGACCAGGCTGGGCTTGAGGATGCTACTGGCCAATGGAAGGACCCCCTCCCTGCCACAGCCCAGAGCTCCCAGGCACTTCCACACTGAGGACCGCACCTCAGAGAGACGTTTCAGGGCCCTGGGCTTTCCTGGTGACTGCCTGGCAGCAAGGCCTGGCAGACCCTGCAATGCCCAGGTCCTGATGGAGTCCAGGGGGTGCAGACGCCAAAATGCAGGGGGCTACACTCACCTTGAAGTTTAATCGTGCATTGCTCTGCGGCTGCCTCCAAATGATGATGGTGAAAATGAGCAGAGCCATGAGGAGCAGCACCAGAGCCACGACACAGCCCACATTGGCATCCTTCAGCGCAGCCATATTGAGGGTCAGGACCACGCAGATGACTGTGATCAGTGCAGCTGCAAGATAAGGGGTAGTCAGGGGACTGAATGGCACATGGCCTCCCTGGGACCCTGAGCCTCACCCACAGCTGGGCTGAGGCGCCCACTGCCCTTGGTCAGGTCCAGCACCAGCTGTCTCTAACAGCCCAAAACCTCTCTTTGTGCCCCAAAGCCTTAGGAAAGTGCTTTGCTGAAGGCACTTCCCAGACCAGCAAGCTGCAGGGAGCCTGAGCTTGGCTGGGCTTGGACCCAGCTCTGACACTTACCCAGACCTGGCTGAGCCTCCCCATTCTGGCTGTACAATGGAGCCATTGATAGACGGATCAAACCCCGCTGGCTGAGCCCAAGCACTCTCAAGGGGCTGGGTGCTGCCCTTGCTGGTGGCCAGCGTGGGTCAGCCTCATCACAGGGATCTCCCATGAGCACCTGCACATCCCTGGCTTAGCACCCCTGTCCTCCAGCAATGCCTATGCACCCCAACCCACAGCTGTACCCTGCACTTGGCACCCTGCTTAGGGTTGAGCACCTGCTGGCACTGCCAACAGCGACTGGCAACCTGGCCCCTCTCCTCTGCCTGGCATGCTCTCCATCCCTTCCCAGCTCTACAGAGACGCCAAAACACTGCAGCCCCTGGCAGGGGGGGACACCAGCCGCCAGTTCCCACTCACTCACCAATGACCGTGACACAGACATAGACAATGCGCCCCGAGAGCACAGTGGGGGTGTCCCCAGGCGGGTTGAAGAGCATCACCAGGGACAAGGTCTCTTTGTGCTGGGCACTGGCAGCAGTGATGGTCGGGTTCATGATCACTGTCTCCTCCTCGTTCCCATTCAGCTCCAGCATTTCCGTGGCCTTCGGGGAGTTCGGCTGTCTGGGCTGGTACCTGAGCAGGTAAGACAAGCTTGCAGCAGAGCCCAAGCAACTTCCTAGCCCAAGGGAACAGTGGGCAGCACCTTCACATCCCTGCTGCTCCAGCAGTGGCCCCGCGACAGCCACTCCAAGGATATGCCCAGAGACACACACAGGCTCTGGTCAGCAGCCTCCATCTTGGGGGCTTGACACTTCCCCAGGATGCATGCCCCTGGAAAAAAGCTGTGGCTACAAGCCCCCAGGACGATGTAAGGAACATCCACCCTGGGCACCGCCAAACACGAGGAGTCACGCACCGGAGGATGAGCACGCACACGGCCACCAGGGAGTAGGCCAGCAGCGTGCCGATCGACATGAGGTCCACCAGGTCCTTCAGGTCAAGCAGGAGGGCAAACACCGCTGAAGGAGGACAGGCAGCATGAGCACAGCTCCAGACCACCGCAGGGCTGGGTGCGAGGGGGTGGCCAGGAGCCTTACCTGCAAAGAACCCCGAGACAAAGGTGGCGATCAGAGGGGTCTTTCTGCCACTGTGGATCCGGGAGAGGAACTTGAAGAGCAGCCCGTCCTCTGCCATGGCATGGATCACTCGGGGCATGGGAAACATGGAGCCCAGCAAGCTGTTGTGGAGAGAGATTAGGCAAGCTGCGCACATCTACCACCCAGAAGGGGAAGGGACCAGCTCTGTGCTAGGAGCAGAACAGCAGCTGGACAGAGCAAATCCCCAGCCCAGCCAGGATAATGCTGTCAGTCCCAGTGCTGTGTCCCAAGCAGTGCCAGGAATAGAGCCAGTCCTACCTGGTGGAGAGGGCACAGAGCGAGCCAACGGCAACGGCGTAGCGAGCAGGCTCCCAACCAACTGCCTTGAAAGCCTCAGGCAGAGGGCTGTTCTTGTTCAGGAGGAAGTAGGGCACCATGAGAGTCAGGGATGCAGAGACCCCAAAATAAGCCACAAAGCAGATGAGGAGGGACACAATGATGCCAATGGGAATCGAGCGCTGCGGGTTCCTGGCTTCCTCTCCTGTCCAGACACAAGAGGCCACATGTGCCCCACTCTACTGCACAGCATGGGACAAGTACCCCCAGGGGATGAGCCAGAGTAGGGACTTTCCATGGAAGCACAGGGCTGGGGAGCAGCAAGCAGGGGCTGCGGGAGAGGAGGGGTCCCTGGCCATGCTGCTGCTGCACTGGCAGAAGGAATGGAGCTGCATGGCAGCCTGGGCTTGCAGCCACCCCTTGGCCATGCCAGCCCTTCTCCACCACCCTCAGCTCCCTCTCCCTACAGAGCCTGTTGAATGGAGGTCCTCCTTGAATGTGTGCCTCGGCTTGGCAAAGGTGTGCTGCACCACGCTCCCAGCAAGGGGCTCGGCAGCAGGAAAGGAGGAGACTGCTGGGCAGCCCCTGGAGGCAGGGTGGCACTGGCAAGGTCAGGCAGAACAGCCTGTACCAGCCACCCACTAAGTAGATTTCTGGGGTAATGAGAGGAAATTAAGAGAGCTGCCTGTGCTCCAGGAAGCAGCAGTTTTGCATGAACCCAGTCATTTGGAAAAAGGCTGCTTGAGGCTGGGAAATAACTAGGAGGCACAAGCAATTCCCAGCACTGTTGCAGGCTCAACTCAGCAGTCAAAAGGCTCCCCGCTGCTCTGGGAGCTGGCTGTGCAAGCAGGGTGCAGCCCTGCTCCCACCATGTGGTGCAATGAGCCACTTTTCCTGCGGCAAGGCAGGCTCTGAGCCCTTTTGTCTGGCCCAGCTGAAGACACAGACTCCACAGGGAAACCTCCCAGGAGCGGTGAGACCAGCTGTTTTCCCACACCATGTAGCATCCTCCCCATCAGCTCCCAACCAGCTGCTGGCTGTGCAGGGGAAATGCCTATGCCACCCTCACCCAAGGCAGTACCTGTGGTGGCAATGCAGTCAAAGCCCACAAAGGCATAGAAACAGGTGGCAGCGCCAGTCAGCATCCCTCCCAGTCCAAAGGGGAAGAACCCACCAGAGCCAAAAGCTTCTTTCCTGGAAGAAATGCAGGAGAGCAGCTGCCATGAGGTGCAGGGACAGCAGGGCCTGTGCCTGCCCTATGCCAGATCCCGGCCTGGCACAGTTGCTCAACTTACATGTCATCCGGTGAGTCTGGCAGCGAGCAGTTGATACAGTCCTTCTCTGAAAGCTGCCAGTTCTTGATATCTCCCTTGATGAATCCAGCAATGATGACAAAGCTCAGCACCAACAGGTTCACCGCCGTGAAGATTTTGTTCACGAGGGCAGATTCGCTGACACCAAAAGCCAGCAGTACTGTGGGGACAGAAGAGGTGAGTGAGGACCCATCAGGCTGCCACGCCATCACCCATGGTACCATGGAGCCACTTTCCTGCACACCCACCAGTGAGCAGCAAAATCAGGATCAAAGCAAAGAAGTCTGGATGCTCGGCCAGCACTCCTGGCAGGTGCATTGGGATCTTGTTGGCGAAGAAGGTGGAGATGGGGTTGCCGATGATGTTGTCAAATGTTGCACTCCACGCTCGAGCCACACTGGCCGTACCTGGTTGATGGCAAATGTGTGCATTAGTCTGAGCCCAGGACAGATGGGCTCCAGCCACCTGCCTGCTGATCCCACCCCACACCCTGCACCCACAGCACCACATGCTTCCCCCAGAAACCCCCCATGCTGCCAGCAGGGTGCTGGAAGGAGCCCACACATGCTGCCTGGCCTCATACCTATCACATAGGAGAGAATGAGGTTCCACCCGGCTATGAAAGCCCAGATCTCACCAACGGTGACGTAGCTGTAGAGGTACGCAGAGCCGGCCTTGGGGACACGGGCCCCAAACTCTGCATAGCAGAGTCCAGCCAGTACAGATGAGAAAGCAGCCACCAGGAAGCAGAGGACGATGGAGGGACCAGCCATCTCCTTGGCTACCTCCCCGGCCATCACATACACACCAGCCCCTAGTGTGCTGCCCACACCCAGGGATATGAGATCCAGTGTGGAGAGGCAGCGAGCAAAATGTGTGTCGTCGGAGCTCAGGTCCACCACGCGCCGGCGGATCAGCTTCCTCCCAAAACCGGTCATTTTTTCCCCCAACATCTTGTCTTCTCCTCAGTGAAGCTCAGCTGGTCAAAAGCCCTGCAAGAAAAGGGAAATGTGAATCTCAGTGTCCTTTAAGCAGCGGGACTGGCACTTCAAGGGGCAGGGTAGGAAATGATGCCCACAGGAGCCTGCTCCCAGCTCACTCATTGGCACCATGCCCCTGCCACACTGGTTGGCCAGAGACCATGGTAGTGGCACCCTCCAAGGCACTGTGGGGCTGCACACACCCTGCCTGCACAGCCCTTGCACCATGACAGTGAGTCAGGGATGAACCCAGTCAGTCCATGCTGGGAAATGCTCATTGCTCAAGCCCTGTGTGGTATTAACCATAGAGCTCATAGGTGCATCCCAAAGCTTGCCCATTGTTTCCCAGGCTTGGCAGCCTGGAGATCCTTCAAACCAAACTTGCCTGCTGGTACATTTCTCCAGCCTGGCACATGGGTGTGCACAGCAGCAATGATGTGGAGACAAAGAATCCCTCCAGCACAGGATTTGACAGGCTGGGCTAACTCACTGGATGCAGCCATTCCTTTGTTGCTTTTGGCATCTGCACCACATTCTCTACAGGGATGCATAAGCAGACAGATAAACAGCATGGGTTCCTGGTGCAAACCCCTTGCCTGCTAACAGTGCTTGCTAAGCAGTCTGCAAGCTCTACAGGCTGTAATCACCCCGAATATGTGACATCCCCACTCCTCTTGCTCACAGCAGCCACCTATCCCCAAAAGGCTCTGAAGATGAGCAACCTGTGAAGCAGGCATCCAGCATAGAGGAGCTGCAAGGAAAGTGGTTCCTCATGCCCATGGCCACAGCTGGCACCTCTGCCCGCACTGAACCACCCAGTCACCAGTGTATTCTCCCTTCATCGGAAAATGACAACACCCCATCCACGTGCCCAGGACCCCATGCCACACTACATGTATCACCTAAGCACACAAGGATAACTTTGTGACCATTTCCATAGAGGATTATCAGGATCACAGTAGCAGCCACCAACTCGCGATAACCAGCAAACCATCCCGCTTCTTAATAAACCTCCTCCCGAGCTGGCACGTCTCACATTCAGCCTTGACCCCAAGTGCAACAAGTGCCCCAGCACTAGCACCCTCCTCAGCCACTACCTGGACAACTCTAGCTGCCTTCCCCAGCGCTGCTCAATTGTTCCAAGTACCCGACTCGAGATCCGCACGGGTCAGGCGGCAGCAGGAGGCTCCCGCTGCATCCCGGTGCCTACCGCAGCCCGGCAGCCATCGCATCCCGCCGCGACTCGGCGTAGGTGTGGGAAGCTGCTAGCTCGGGAACAGCGCCTCAGCCCCCGCGGGGGCATCTCCGGTCCCCAGGAGTGCCACCGCGGAGCCCGGCGATGCGGCGGGGACGGCAGAATGCGAGCGCGGCCCCGCGGCAGGACCGGCCACGTGCGGGCTGGCGGCAGCTGATGCAAGACCGGCACCGGTTGCGCCAAGCCCCTCCCGGTCCGGCGGCAGCGCCCGCCACCACTCACCTGCGGCGCGGTTCGGTTCGGCTCGGCTCGCCCCCGTGCGATCCCCTTTAGGTGAACTCGGTTCCGTTCCGCGCCGCGGCCGAGAGCATTAGAGGGGGGCGAGTTCCGCCCGTGATAGATTGGTACAAATGGAGGCGGGAACGGGCGCTCATCAGCTTTCACCCAAAGCCCCAGGGGAGGAGGCGGGAGCAGGCAGAGCCGAGTTCCTCCTAGCCCCACCCGCCCCCCGGTTCCCGCGCTCGTTTTTGAAAATATAAATTCCAGCGACAAGTGGCACCGGGGCGAGGCACGGCTCGGCCGGCGGGAGTGCGGCTGCTGCGGCCGGCAGCTCCGAGACCAGGGCAAGGCACTCTGCTCCTTCGGGAAACGCCACGGAGGGAGCAGCTGAGGGTCCCCCGGGTCCAGATGTGCCATGAGAACAGAGCCTGTCCCGGCCGTGCCCCGCCGCGGCTGGGAGCGAGGCGAAGAGGCGAGGCCAGCCCCGATGCAGGCGCTGCCAGCGGAGCTCAGCCCGCGGCTTGTGGGGTGACTCTCCCCCGACCTCCGTATGCTCCGCTACAGGCCCCTCCGTTCTGGGAGCAACAGGCAGCCCTAAGCGATGGGAAACGCCAGTCCTGGGAGAACTGTTCGGCAGCCAGGAGAGAGGCAGGGGCCAGCACCACCCTCTCCAGCGCTCAGCCTGGGAGCTGCCTGTCAGCAGGCCGCGCCTGATGCAATCCAGTGCTTGCCTGTCTGAGCGCCCATTCAAAGCAGCAGCTCAGAGAGGTAAGCCAGCCCCTCGCCGGCATCATGGGCAATGCCCTGCTCCGGCATTGCCGCTATCGAGGCAAAAAGCTTTTCAGCCTCTTGCAGAGCGGAGGGGAGCACAGCAGGGCAGGCAGGAGCGCTAGGCAGCTGCCTCCCCCGCATCCTCTGGGTGGGGAAAACTCCGGGAGTATGCGGTGATGGAAACACTAGCTCATGCTTCTAACGAAGTGACTCAAGCTCTTCTGCCCCCGCTTCTCAGAATCGAGGAACTGCAGTTCAGCAACCTCCCTTTCCTTCCTGACCCCATGACGAAGTAAGGTCAAGGCACAGACAGCAGCATGGCTGTTACTACTCACACACCTCCCACTCCTGCCAGCGCTGCCAGCTGTAGGCAAGGACCCACCTGGGCAGCACCATCGCTGAGAATGTTCTCAGACAGGATAGGCAGCACCACGGGCACAGCAGGACTCCAAGCAAGGTCACCCTGTCCCACACAAGCAGACACGGGGTACCCAGAATAGCAAGGTGGCAGATTACATTATTTCCCTATTACCAGAAACCTTCTTGCAACATCAGGCGTTGGGAGGCAATTTCCAGAAAGGAGCAGCATCAGGACACCAGAACATGTCTGCAGCTCCACATGTGTCTTCCCAGTGTCCCATCCTCACCTCCCAGTCTTACTGCTCCCCACTCCCACCATCCAGGGCCCAGATCCAGCAGCACAAGCCAAGGGCCGGGAGCAGGCAGAGGCATGGAACAAGCCAAGTGCACGTCTCAACAGGAGCAGCAGGAAGGCAAAGAGCGGCAAGGTACACATAGCCAGCATCAAAAGAGGGTAGGAAATGGCTCCAGCCCATAAAAGGGACCAGAAGACCTGCAGAAACAGATCCACATCCATCCTTGGATGCCTCCACCACCTTCCACAACTGAAACATTATAGAGTATTTCAGATTGGAAGGGACCATAAGGACCACTGAGTCCAGCTTCACCCACGAGTTCCTCTTTATTTACAAATAGCAGGGCACTTTTTGGAGTCAACTCTCTTAGTACCTGCACCAAGAAGTTATCTTCATGCATGTCCAGGGAACACACAGCATGTTAGGGCTCTCTGCTGCAGATTGTGCCAGCATTGGAGCTCCCCAGCAACCAAGTGCCACGCAGGGGTGGGAGACAGCCAAGACAGCTGTGCAGCCCTGTGCAGCCACCCCTGCGCACAGTCCAGGGCAGTGCCCCAGGAAGGGGTGTGGGCTACCTGTGAATGCATGTTCCAAGGCAGCCAGAAATAACAGGAGGAGGAACAGGCCAGCCTTCCCAGCCACCTCAGGGCACTGCCAGCACCAGACATGTTCCAAGGCAGCCAGAAATAACAGGAGGAGGAACAGGCCAGCCTTCCCAGCTCTACCTCAGGGCACTGCCAGCATCAGACTCTCCAGTGCCTCACCCAGACACAAGGCAGTGCAAGAAGGCGCCTGCATCAATGACCACTGAGAGAAGGCAGCAGAGCAGGGCTCTCAGCACCAGCATGCAGAACAGTGAGGGACTGGGCTGAGTCCCAAGTGCATGTGCCACCATGTGCCTGCAGTCACTGATAATAAAGCAGTAATAAATAGCCAAAGGCTACAAAAGTCTAATGTGCCATAAGCCAGCATTGCCTTTTCCCACATCCAATGTGAAGGTGGCCTAAGGAAGAAACCTGCCCATACAGCTGCCTACCACCACCACACATACAAGCATTCCACTGGAAGCATCAATTTTGTCCAGAAATGCTTCCCCAGAGCCACACTGTACCTCCATCCACCAGCAGTCAGCTCCTTCCTGTAACAGATCTCAAATCTCTGGCTGAGCAAAACCAGCCGTAGCCAAGCACAGACCTACCCTGTTTGCCCAGTGGGGATCCGTGGGCAGCACTGGGCACTGCCTCTACCCAAGTAGACAGCATGCACCACTGCAAAAGACACCTTTATTTTACATGCAAGGAGTTGAAAAATTAATTAATTCAAGAGCTCCATATGTATCACTGGCCTGGGGGCTCACACAGCTAGACAATGGCTGTCTGTCCCCGTGTACCAGCTGTCAGTCTCTCCCCAGGTCACCACTGTCGAACACTGCTGCATCTTTCAGACAGATTCCTGGGAAGCAACAGCAACATCAAAGCAGTAATGCTTCTGGCACTCAGCACCTGAGCCCTGAGAAGGCCTGTATGAGCTGTATCCCTCCCACTTCACAGCCCTCAAGGGATCACTGGAGCATCCCTGCAGCCTGCCCAGAAGCGAGGGCTCACCACAGTGAGGGAACATACCTGCTGCTCTGAGCTGAGCCTGCAAGGAGGAGATTGTCTGCTGATAGGCTTCACACTGGGCAGTCTTGTCAGCTGCAGACAGAAGGCAAAAAGGTGTGTGCTCAGCCCATCCTAAATACCTCACGCCAACTCTCTAGGGCAGCAGCTGAGATCCTGCTCTACCCCCTAAACATGAAGCCAGCCCCACTCCCGTGGAGCTGCAGGCCCTGGGCTCCAGGTACAAGCAGAGATGTCACCTGGACTGCAGGTGTCCTGCAGTCCTCAGAATAGCCAGCTCCACGTACCAAGCTCGCCCTTCACTTGCTCCAGCTCTTTCTTCACACGCTCCAGTTCCTGGGACAGCTGATCACCTGCAGACTGGCAAGAGCAGGGTGCAAGTGTGATGCAGGGAGTTGCACCCCCCCACAACACAGCCACAGCACAGCCCATCCTCTGGAGGAGCACTGCAGCCCATCCAACACTCCAAGCTCAACCCCCTGGGGACCACTGCTAGGGCACATCCATCACAGGAGCAGTGCTGGCAAAGGAGCCGCTGTAGCGAGCATCTGCCAGCACCCTGGGAAACAAGAATGCCTTTGGCTGGCTGCAGCCACAGAGTGAAGAGCCCTAAAACTGCTGGAAAATGCACAAACTTATTCTGAAGGTAAGAGATTTCCTAATTTGGAGATTCATCTTGCAGGCTCTGCACACCCCATCCTGGGGCCATGTCCTACATGTCAGGACGTATAAAAGTGACAGTACAAGCCACATGAAGTTTGCATGTTTCAAAAGGCCATTAGAAAATCTAGCTGGACAGAAGCCTGCAATCCTCTGAGCATGGAGAGGTGGTAAAGCCATGCAAAAAATGCCCATGGTCTTGTGTAAACCCCAGAGAAAGGCTGAAACAGCTCAAGTGCCAGCCAGAAATTGGCAGGTCCGGCTCTCATAATCTCCTACCTCTGGCATAGCTGGCCCAAGCCAGAGACTGAACAGTGCTCCATGGCGACAGGACACAGCTGGCCCTTACCTGCTCAGCAGGAACTGCATCTTCACACCCTGTAGTCAGGCCAGGGGCCAACTCACTGGACAAAGAGGACTCCACACACTCCCATGTCTGGTCATTTCTACCTGTGAAGAGAAGTGTCAGCACTAGAAACCTGCTATCCTCAGCCACTCTTCAACCTGGCCACAGAGCTGCTCCAGATCAGTAAAGGACAGAACCTGTCCAAGAGAGTCAGAAGTCTCCCAATACTTCCAGCCCAACAGCTGCTGCTGGCTTGGTCTGTATGGGTGCTGCTGGGAGAAAGTGCTCCTGCATGGCTTTGCTCCCAGCAGCTCTGGGCTCCTGCTAGGAGTCTGCTCTCACAGTGAGGCCAGGCAGCTGGCCGGGCAGGGTGGGACAGGGCTGTGGCAGCAGAGTGGTGAGAGCCTCCTCACCTCCCTTCCCTCTGCAGGGCTCAGGACTGCAGGCTGCCCAGCTGCAGTTCCTGTGAAGGCAGCACCCCCTGCCTGCAGCACAGGCTGGAGCATCCTCAGCCAGGGCCCATCTGGGGAGCAGCGTTGCCCAACAGGCAGCTGTCCATGTTTCTCCGCACACTCTCCCCAACACAAGGCAAGAATCTACACCTCCATACTGCTCACCTGCTCCCAAGACAGTGCTTGCTGCAACCAGCCTTTCTTTGTTCTCATTTTCCTTCACCTCTCGGGTCCTATTGAACACCAGATCCTCTGTAGTTGATTCTGAAATGAGACCCAGGAAAGGAAAATAAAGAGCATCAACCCCTGACCATGGCCACTCCCTCTCCTATGAACGAGCCTCGAGCACCAGATCTGTTCAGATTCTTTGCTGGGTGCCTCTCCAGCAAAAGAGGAAAAGGACTTCACCCAGCCTTGCTTGCTCTGTACTTCACCTCCCCTGCTCTGAGCCCAAGCACATGCAGTAGTCCCCCAGTCCTTTCCCCAGGATGAGCTTTGACCCTGGAGCCAACACCTGAATGCTCTTCCCACGGCAGCATTACCCTTCTCCTACGACACTGCAGCCTCTGAGGCTTCTGCCAAGACTCACCTTTATTGAGGCAAAAATGCTTGGACGAAATCACTTTTTCCGGAGGCCGCAGTGAGGAGCGGGAAGCCACAGTAGGAATTTCTGTAGAAAGCCTTGAGGAGGGCTGTTTACGACTTCCAACCTTGGCAGCAGCTGTAGTGAACAGTAAACACAGAGGCCGCTATTCCCAAGCAGCTCCATCGCACCTTCTTCAGGCAGCCCGGGGCTCAGCCAGGCTGCCTGCCCTAGGCGCACAGGCACCAGTACCCCGTGACCCCACAACACCATAGGGTGAAGGCTTCAAAGTCAACAGACTGCCAGCCCACACTGGAGGGAGGCCAGACAGTGTTAACACACCCCTCGGGGTATGAGACCATTTCCTAGGCTCCTACCTGTGCCGCTCCCCACTCCTTATGCCCTGTCCCCAGCCAGGCTGCAGCCCAAGCCCTTCCCCTTCTCCCTTCTAGACGCAGCACCCTAACCTACGTGCTTCCCTGCTTCGCGCGACGCAACTGGCAGGTGCAGCATTACTTTTCATCCCTCCGCTCCGGGGGACGAGTTTGGGAAGGCTGGAAGGCTGTGCCCGCTGTGAAACCCCGCTGGCACGCTGAAGCCTGGACCTGGCAGGCGACGTCAGTTTCAGCCTGGTCCCTGGGCGAGAGAGAGGGTTCTGCAGCGCCGGGCGGGCGGTGGCCGTGCCGGGGCTCCCCGCCGTGACCCCGCTTACCTGGGGGCCGGAGGAGCCGCGTTTCCCAGGCGCCTCGCCCCGTGCCGGCCGCGGGGAGCTGCAGTCCCAGCGAGGCCCGTGCGCCGGGGAGAGCGAGCCTGGTGCGGGCGCGGCCCGGGGAGCGGGCAGGGGTGCCGGGGCCGCGGCCGGAGGGCTCTCCGGGACCGCGCCGCGCCCGCCGGGACAGAGCGGGCCGGGCGCCGGGACCACCGCCGGCCGAGGGCTGCGGGAGGCACTCGGGCTCCCCTGGGGCCGGCCCAGGGCCAGGGGCAGCAGCGGCCTCGCACTCGCCAGCGCTCGAGTCTGGGACCTGCCCGTGGCTCGGTAAGGGCAGCGGCGTGGAGGTGGCGGGTCCGGGGGGCGTGGGCTGCAGCCCGCTGAGCTCTCGCAGGCCCGGCGAGGGCTCCGCGGCCGCCCCGAGGCGCAGGCGGTCGGCGATGGCGCGGCACTCTTCCTCGAAGAAGCTGAGGTAAAGGGGGGTGGACGGCGAGCGCAGCGCCTGGACGTGCTGCAGCAGGTCAGGGCAGTCCGGCGAGCTGGAGCCGGCCTGCGGCTCCGGCAGCCACATCGCGCCTCGGAACGGCCGGGGAGAAGCAGAGAGCCCCGCCCGCCTCCGCGCTGTGCCCGCCCCGCCCGTGCCCGCTCTGTTCCGGCCGTTCTCCCGCCCCGCTCGTGTCCGTCTTCTCCCGGCGGTTCCCCCGCCCCGCCCCGCCGGTGCCCGCTCTGTCCCGGCAGCTCTCCCGCCCCCTCGCCGGTGACCGCTCTCTCCCAGCGGTTCCCCGTCCCGGTAGCCCCCAGGACCAGGCAGACAATTGGCTTCACAGTGGTTTAATGCGAACGGCACCGGGACGTTACACTGGACAGGGTGCAGACAGCTGGATGGATGGCAGCCCCGCGCAGGGCAGGGGAAGGAGCCGCCCCGAGCGCGACTGGCGGCAGCAGGAGGCGGGGACCGAGCCCCTCCGAGGCCACGGCCGCCTCCACCGGCACCGGGCTCCGCGCTGCCCCATGGCCCTTTCCGGGCCGAGCCAGCCCCCGGAGCAGCTCCCTCGCGCTTTCAGCGACTTCTCCCCAAAAGCCACCTCTCGCCCAGCAGTACCAGTTCCTCACCAGAAAACAGAGGGGACGTTGGGGAGGCCTCGGGGAACATGCCTGGCAGGAACAGGAGGGCATCCACTCTGGGCCTGTGCTCCAAGAAAGGCTCAACTGTGCCACAACAAAGTGACCAAGCGCTTTTAAACCAGCCAGCCTTGACCTGAGGAGCCCCCGAGCTGAGGGCCAACCTCACTCATCACAGCTGTGGCAGCTGGGGGAGCCTCTAAAGGACACTTGTGCTGCAGCAAGTCAGCCTCATTGTCCCCTCAAGCTCTGAACACTTCCCTGACCAGTCGTATGTTCTCACTTCCACACAAGCAACTGCCTAGCTCACTGCAGAACAGGTGAGAACACACAAAGAGCCATTGCCACTTCTCCTGCTTTGTAAGCAATGTCTAACCTAGGACTGACTTCCCATTTTCTGCTGTCCTTTTCTGGAGAGGTGGCCTCACTCCGGGTCCCACTGCTGGGCTCCTCCAGTGGCAGCCATCACAGCTGCATCCTACAACGGCTCCCACCAGCCTTCTCTTGCTCCTCCTCAGCCAGACAGTCTGCTCCTCCCAGCAGCTGGGGCCCAGGATAAGGTCACTAGGCTCAGCCGAGCAGGATGCTGCAGGCAACACCAGCCCAGCAGCCCATGGTGCAGCAGGCTGTGCTGTTTCTTAAAGTCTGGGCCAATGCATCACAGCACATGTGGCTACAGCCCAGACTATCCCATCTTCCACGTGCCAAATGGCCCACAAAGAGCATCATGAGAGCACGTGGGATGGAAACCCCTCGAGCTGCCAGCAGCACCTTAGAAAGGAGGGGGCACAAATACACCAAATAGGTCTGTAATTCAGGAGGCTGATAGCAGGGTTTGAGTAGGTGTTGGGTCTCAGCACTTCCAGACAGTGAAGAATGGGGGTTTCATGCAGGGTGAATGGGGTGGATGACAGACTGACACACCCAGGCACCTACTCACTGGTTTGGATAAACCTTACTAAAACTCTAATACCTGATATAATCACTGACCAACATGACAACTGCTATTCTTCAAAGTCTCCTGCAGAGATGCTTGGGGCTGCACAGACAAGGGAGTGAAGGTCATCTCTTATCTTCCTGTACAGGGAGAGAGGCAGCTCCTACACCAGAACGCCATTAGCAAGTTCCTGCTCCACACCTATCCACATCTGCCCCTAGACATGGGACAACACACTCACTTGCATAAATCTTCACATCTTTAGGCCACAACCACAGCCCAGTAGAACAAACTGCTGCCAGTTACAAAAGAGGAAAATACTGAACAAACTGGGAGGTTCAAGAGAGGAAAAGCTGGTTCAGAGAAGACAGATTTAGTGTAAAAATAAATGTCATTTTTGCAGGAGGGAGGGTGGAATGGAGGAAGACAGTGCCAGGTGCTCCTACTGGCGCACTTTCCCTGGGACGTAATTCCTATCAATAGTCTCCTCTTGCAGGAACATATGTAAGCAGCGCTCGTTCTGTGCCAGTGGGTGTCCAGCAATTCTGGAAGAAAATCAGATGTGGAGGTTAGCACAGCTGCCTCCAAGACCCCCAGGCCTCTGCTGTGCGCAGGAGGGAGTCAGGCAGCCAGCTCAGCACACCTGCACCGCGCTCAGCCCAAGGTCGCGCATCGCTCTGCAACGGGACCAGGAAGAGGTGTTTGAGCACAGGCTGTTCCCTTCCAGGCCGTGCCCTGAACCAACAGTACCATGCTGGTGGGTCCCTGTAGCACAGCTGTTCTGCTAATACTCACTACACTCTCAGGAGAGAGCACAAAGCACAACCCCCACTCAGGGCAGGACTTGCTCCAGTTCCAGTTTCATTACGTGGCTGCAGGCACCACCCTCCAGCACTGGCACCTGCCAGAAGCAGGTCAAGACTCTCACAGTCAACCCACGGCCCAGCAGCAGCTAAAAAGGCAGCACACAGCAAAGCCAGGACATCAAACTTACTTGTTAATAAACTGTTCTAGGCCCTGTCTCCGCTCCTCGATGAAAGACTCCTCAAAGATGCCTTCATCTCCTCGGAAGGGCAGCTGTCGTTTCAAAGCTTTTCCAGGCAGCGGTGGCACTACAATCTGAAAGCAAAGAATCACCCCCTGAGCAGAACAGCCACCTGCAAGCAGACATCCTTTGCTTTTGATGCTCATCTCCAGTGCCATCACATGCATAGAGAAGAAGGTGCCCACTGTCAGAGACAGGCTACGTTTCATGTCTCTAAACACTTTGGGATGGTTGCCAAATGCCTGTGCGTATGTTTGGTGGGAGGGGCAGATCAGGGCTTGTGAAGGGAGACAGTGAAAGGTTCCACCCCCCAGCCCAGAGCCAACAGCCCAGGCCGGGCAGAGCTGTTCATCAATCACACACTGTGGGTGGTGCTAACCCAGCCCCCGAGTGACCAGAAGCTCCACCTTGGGAGGGGATCACAAAGACCCTGGGCTTAAAAGCTCCCATGAGGGACTTGTCTGGCTGCTGCATTCTCCCAGAGTTTCCATCTCACCCATGCTGGAACCCTAGGAGTTGTGCGCTATGTGTGTTTTTCTGTACCTTTTTTGTCTTTCTCTCTCTTCTAATCCTCTTTCTGTGGAACTTCTTTGGGTAACATATCAACTTAAGGTTTTAAAGGTTTCTAAGTCAAGCAGGATAAGTTTATCCTAAATTAATAGTAAATTAATGCTAACTAATGTTATAATAAGTGTTTTATAAGTGTATTTACTCCTTTGCCAAAATTTATTATTTTTGCCAGAGAACTTTTGTGCATTTGTGACCTCTTGAGAATACCTGGTTGGGATTTCTCCTTGCACCAAACTAGAGTAAAGGAATCTCAGTTTAACCCCTAGATTTAAGTATCTGGGCTGCAACATCCACCACCACAGCCCCACTTCTGGGAATCTCAACATTACTGCTGCAACTGTTCCCACATCCTGGCTTAAGGAACAGGGAGGTCTGACCAGGCCTTACCTTACTGTCTCGCTCCAGCTCATTCTTCAGCCACTCAAAGTCGCTGTATCGTCTCCTCACACACGACTCCTTCAATTTGAAGATGGGGAGGTTTGTCTGGAATGAAGCAAAGCAGTTTATTTGCAGGTTGCTCTGGAAGCCATGTGTGTAACTGAAACCTGAAGCTGCAGTGAGAAAATCAAACCTCCTGAGAAGGACTCATGATTGGAACACTCAACTTCCTTATTCAGGACAGCACAAACATCAAAATCCTTCAGATCCAAGCAAGCCTGTCTACTCAGTCCAGCCATTCCCTCTCCCTTGAGTGACTATTTCTGGAACACACCCCCTTCCCAGGGGCACACAGTGCAACCAGTGCTGACAATATGTCTGTCAGGAGAATGATTTTTTCCCCCATCCCCAAGTTTACTACATTTTGAAGAGATCTACAAGAGAATTTTGCAGCAGCCTGCAGAGCAAAAGAACATCTGACATGACACTGGCATCTCCATGGAAGAACTGAGGAAATCTTGCCCCAGCAACTGCTCAAGGCAGACCTCATCTACAGTCTTCTCCCAAAACAGAGCACCTACCCTAACAGGCTTTTCATGCCCATCTTGTGTCACTAGAGAACGGTGCAGCAATTCTTCACCCTTCTCCCCTGCCACTGGAGTCAAACAAGTGACAGCTGCATTAACTTTACCCCATCAACACAGAATCATTCCAGGAACTGAGGTAACAAAACCTTCTGATGGACAGCACTCAAATATTACTACAACACAATTAACTGTTCTTATGAGGTCTGTGAAATAAACCCAGCTGCTTTCAGAGCATCTCTGCTGGTTTCAGTGGGACTAAGAGGTTCCCGTTGCCACCTGCAGGCTGATGGGAGCCAAGCACCAGAGCAGAAAAAAGCAAACACCAATTCTTCTGAAAGGCAGAGGCAACTGAGCAGTTAAATCACACTATAAGCAAAAGTCAAACCAGCACCACAACACATGCTGAAGGGACCTTGTTTTAGGGGAAGCTCAGTTTTACTTTTCCATCTATCAGAGCTGTGAAGGGGTTCCCAGTTCAGCTCGTTTAAGGCCCAATGAAGAGAACCCTGCTCAGCCTGCTATGCACACTCCTAGGCCAGGGGCTCTTGGCAGAGCAGCCAGCATGCAGTGTGAGCAGTCCCACGTTACTGCCACCCAGCTCTCGTCCCCTGCCCGAGATAAGCAGCTACGTGCAGCCGTGCCCTGCTCAGCAAGCCCCCAGCGGGGCTCTCCAGAGGGAACGGGCGCAGGAGCTGCTGAGGCAGCACCTCCCCGTCCGTGCGCGCACCAGCCCCGCTGGAAGCCGAGCGAGCCCATCGCCTCTGACCTTGAGCCCCGCAGGCGCGCCGCTCGCCCCAGCCCGGGGCTTCGCCTCCTCCGCCCCCCGCCGCTCAACAGCGGCACCGCCCCGGCCCTGCCGTCCCTCGGCCACCGCCCCTCCCCGGGCCGCGCTCCCGCACACCGGGCAGCCCAGCCCCGCAGGCCCGACGGGGGCCGCACCCGCATGCGGAGCTCGTAGCTCGTGTATCTGGCGCGGCCCATGCCCACGGTCTGCGGGTTGAAGATGTCGATCTCGAGGAAGTTGCTGGGCGGCCCGTACGCGTCCGTGAGGTCCTGCGGCTTCGCGTTGAGGCGCCGGGTGTCCGCCA